CATTTGTTAAGTGTGAGACATCTCTCTCCGCTGCAGGGTGGGGCCACATTGCTGGAGCAATAGGACACAGTAGCATGCAAATGCCTTTGCTTCCATTCCCCTACCTAAACTGCAGCTGAATTTGGAGCTCCTCAGGCTCTTCTTGGGCTGTGAGTCAGTCTTAACCTTCCTAGAGCTGCCAGTTCTTTCCACTGACTCACACCAAAGATCGCAAAACCACAATTATTTAACCCTGCAAGTGTTCAGGACATTCTATCAGTTTTAGGACTGCTTCTCAGGAACTAGTCAAGCAACCAGATTGTGAATCCTGCATTGAGCCTCCTGGTGCATCTTCCAGAGGAGAGACCCTATCTAAGCCAAGAAAAACTGAGCTGAGACATGAGAGTAGAATGACTACTGAGGCAGCACAGGCTGGTGGGGAAGGAGTGAAGGTCATGCACCTGCTGAGCCTCTGGCATGACTCAAGAGAAGATCTTGCACCGATGACGGTGGATGGAGTTTCCTTTCCTGGGATGACAGATGAGGAGAAATAACATGCCACACCAACAGTAACCATGAATAACAATCACCATAGCAGCCTTCAGCACAAAAAACCCCTACAGATCTACACGACCGACTCTTATCTGTGCAGAGACTATTTCTCTGACCAGGCAGGAGTACAGGTACTGGGGAGCAACATAGAATTCTGTCACACCCTACTTCAAGTTCAAGCACTATCCATTAAAAACTAAGAGAAATTCTTCTCACATAGGCAAACTGTAGCCACCCCTATCGCTCCTCTGTCTACATAAGTGTTTTGAATCCTTCTATCTGGAGAGCAATCTAGAGAAGTGAGCCCTTGCCCTTGGTTTGCTGCTTTGCAAAGCAACAGGAAGGAATGCGAAGTGCCACTTGGAGGTATGACAAAAGCTGATGGTAGAGTTCCTCAAATAGAGGGAGTGGGTTAGTCAAGAGGATAAGCCAGATTAGTAGTGGTCTTTTGCTTCTGTCAGAAAGTGCACTGCAGTGAAAGGAGTAGAGGGAAAGTGTATAGGATGTTTCTGCAGGAATGATCAGTTTGTTTGGGGTGAAAAATCAGAGCACTCTCAACTGAATCTGAAAAAAGTTAGATCTCAAGTGTTCCTAAGGGATGTAATACATCTGACTTCCATTCCCATTTTTCTCTATGAACTGAGGTTCCTGCTCAGGACTGCCTCTCCCAGTGTGAGTTGGTGAGGAGTACTCTGAGGGATGCTGGCTGGGGGAAGAACTCAGCCAATAGCCTGCAGCAGCCTATAGTGTCCAGGGAATAGAGGACATCTACACTGCACCACCTGTGAGCACCATAGTGACCTCTGACTACTCTAAAACTCAGTTTTCCAGCTAAAGTTGCTTGAGTTTGTTACATTCTATTTCTCAGCACGGGAAAGATGGCATTTCAGGGAAAAAGCAAATGCTTTTTCTAGAATATCAACAAAAATCTCCATAGATTGAAAGCAACTGAGAAGACAGAAATTCTACCTTCCCCGGCTCCCACCACAGAAAATAAGGTTTGCAGCAGTAAGTCACACCAGTGGTCTGTCTCACCCAGTCTCAGATGGTGGCAGTAGGAGGTCCAATATTTAGAGGAAACACATGATTCTGGCCACTATCTGAGGTGGCACAGAGTCACACTAGGAATACAGGTGGTTTGAATCAGGGCCAAGGCCACTTGAAAAGAAAGGGGAAAACTGGAGAGGGCAGGACAGAAAAGAAAATATATTTGATACTGTTTGAGACAGCCACAAACTGCCACCTGTCACTGATGCATTTCTCAGTGCAAAGGCAACCTACAAACAGCAATGCTGCCGTGATGCTACCAGTGAAGGAAACCATGAGGTGTGATAAAACCTTCTGCAGAATT